CTTTATACTTGTAATTATTCAATTTGTTGCTTGAGGGCAAGCAACGTTTAAGTGTGAGGAATTTGATAAGTCTGTTTCGTTCTTATCATTTACATCATATTCTAAACGTTATTGCACGTAAATAATATTTAATCATCTCATAAAATGTGATTTTAATGGATAAAACTCTCATTTTCGTTCTAAGAGTCATAAAAAGGGATTTCACATAAAATCATCATAAATCATCCATTCTATGGTCAAATACTTGAGAAAAAGGGAATAAATCATCAAGGGATCAAGATTCGGGCCTGAACGAGCTTCCGGGAGGTCAAAAAGAGTGTTCGGAGCCAAAACGGAGCGAAATTGGGCCGAAATCACGAAACTGCCGCGAAGCCCAACGGACTAAGGCCTCAAGGCGTCCAACTTGGACGCTTGGGAGTTGGACGCCTTGGCTGGATTGTAGACCAAGGAAGACACGTGGCAGAACCTAGTTGGCCGGAGCAGCTCAACCGGCCAACCAGATTTTGCCACGTGTCATTCTTGGGCTGTAATTAAGCCAAAGCGTCCAACTCCCAAGCGTCCAACTTGGCCAAGCGTCCAAGTTGGACGCCTTGAGGCCTTGGTCCATTGGGCTTCGCGGCTGTTAGAACGAAAATGAGAGTTTTATTCATTAAAATCACATTTTATAAGATGATTAAATACTATTTGCGTGCAATAACGTTTAGAATATGATGTAAATGATAAGAACAAAACGGACTTATCAAATTTCTCAAACTTAAGCGTTGCTTGCCCTCAAGCAACAAATTGAATAATTACAAGTATAAAGGAAATTTAATAATTGCAGAGGGAAGGTTTAAGCTACATATTATGAAGGAAAAAAGAAATAAGATAGTCATCAACATTTTTGTTAAGAAGAAATGAACCCTTAGATTCTCACCCATATTGTTAGAAATGTAAAAATAATTTTGTCAAACCAATATTTTTACACCAACCTAAACAACGAAAATTTTCCAAACTTTCTTTGGGATAACTACATTTGTAAGAGTACTTTAAAGGTAAAATAATTTTTTTAATGGCTAAATTGGAAAACATGTTCTTGCAAAAGTATTTGTCAAAGTGTAAGGGTTTAATTTTCTTTGGCATAACTTTGTCATTTTGACACGAGAAAAATTTATAACCTCATCCCATGACATGGAATCACGAGCTTTTTGGATATTCACTCTGGAAAGTTTTATCACACGACATAGAACCGCATGCTTTTTAACTTTAATCAATCACTCGAAAGGCCTCATCACGCAATATAGAACCGCGTGCTTTTTGGCATACTCACCAAGCCTCATCAGTTGACCTAGAACCAACTTCTTTTTGGCTAAAACAAGAATCTCGGTCTCACCAAAGCATACTTTGAAACGTCACCCCTTATACTTTGAAAATAATTCTCTTTTAGAAACAACTAATACTCATAAGAGCATCAGCAAAAAGATTTTCAATAAAGCACTTAACAATTAATTGATCTAAAAAAACTCTTAATAAATTGTGAATTTATCCCAAATCATTTTAGAAAACATTCCCAAGAGGTTAGAGTAAAAATAAAAGTTTGACAAAAAGTTAAAAATTTCCAATTTTTACGGGTGATAACTAAAGATTAATTAATCAAAGAATTAAAATTGATGACTATTCTATAAAAAATCTTTTCCTACAAATATATAGACAAAAAAATTCCTAAAAAGATCATTTCAACCACGAACTCTTACCTCCTCACACTTAAACGGAACCACGCCCTCGTGGTTAAAAGTATTTTGGAATTGGAGTTAATGGTTGAAATGCTCACATGCAATTACTAATTTATCTCAATACTTACGGGATTCAACGATGAAGATTGAAATAATAGATAACCATAACATGTAAATATGAAATAATGCATAAAATTTTCTCAAAATGGGTTTAAGAGTCATAATGTGAAATTCCAAAATAAAAATCAATCAAGGATCCAAATCATGTTCAAATTAGTAGTTGACAATTGTAGTTTTTCGGGTAGTAAACCTTCCCAGTAAAGGGTTAGTTTTCTCTCCGAGTGTCGTGTCTCTCGAGGAGTGGACGAAGGGAATTAGTTTAATTATCTAACTAGGCGAAGATTAGGATTGGTTTATGAAAGTCTTCTCGGAACGATTATAAAAGGAGCAGAGTAAAAATAATAAATTAAGTTTACATAGTATAAGTATAGATCTGGACCTAGGGTCAGGACATCATTTGGATCTATTTTATCATATTAAATTAACAATTGGAATAATAATATTTCTATTACTACTCATCCATTTCTAGATTTGTACTTAATCTGTTGCACTTGAATATCGTAGCCTTTTAGCATACAATATCTTCTCAATAAATAGCTAATTAAATCTTTCGAGAATAATTAACTAAATAAGGCAAGAACAATAGANAAGGAGCAGAGTAAAAATAATAAATTAAGTTTACATAGTATAAGTATAGATCTGGACCTAGGGTCAGGACATCATTTGGATCTATTTTATCATATTAAATTAACAATTGGAATAATAATATTTCTATTACTACTCATCCATTTCTAGATTTGTACTTAATCTGTTGCACTTGAATATCGTAGCCTTTTAGCATACAATATCTTCTCAATAAATAGCTAATTAAATCTTTCGAGAATAATTAACTAAATAAGGCAAGAACAATAGATTAACCATTCCAACATTAATTTAACATCAAAAAAATAAACAACCAAACTAGTCCGGACCCAGAGATCCGGACCCTAACTCATACTATGCAAACATAAATTAAAATAACATTTTATTGAATAAAGAGAACTTACAACTTTCGTACAAGCGGAATTGAACAGATCGGGAGTAGAATTCCTCCAAAAATTACTCTAAAACTACTAAAATGCTAAACTAATACTTGGAATTGGGATATAAAGCTTAATTCCCGAAAATGGGAGTGAAAGGGATGTGTTGAATGGGGAGAATTGCGCTGTATTTATAGGACAGAGGCCGAGGCGTCCAAGTCAAAGCGTCGAAGTCCAGGCGTCCAGATCGGGACGCTTGAGCTGCTCCGGCCAACCAGGTTTTGCCACGTGTCTTCCTTGGTCTGCAATCCAGCCGAGGCGTCCAACTCCAAGCGTCCAAGTTGGACGCCTTGAGGCCTTGGTCCGTTGGGCTTCGCGGCTGTTACGAGATCTTGGCCCAATTTCACTGATTTTCGGCCCGAACATCGATTTTACCTTATCGGAAGCTCGTTCAAGCCCGAAACTTGATCCTTTGATGATTTATTTCCTTTTTCTCAAGCATTTGAACATAAAATGGATAATTTATGATGATTTTATGTGGAATCCCATTTAATGACTCTTAGAACGAAAATGAGAGTTTTATTCATTGAAATCACATTTTATAAGATGATTAAATACTATCTACGTGCAATAACGTTTAGAATATGACGTAAATGATAAGAACGAAATGGACTTATCAGTAGTCAAAAAGAGACTTTACTGAGGAAGTCAATATTCTCTCAGTAGCTAATTTCAACCAGGAATGCTGGATCAAGAATAATCAAAGGCTATAGAACCTTTTTGTTTACCCCACGTGCATAACCTCTTCTTCGCTTCCTCTACAAGGTAATCCCTACGGTCCTCCCATATGCAAAAACAAAGACAACAAACAAAATAACTCTTGCCCCCTAAACTGGTGTGGCAAGCATAACCTCAAAAACTTATAAAATATTTTTATGAATGACGGGTTGCCTCCTGTTAAGCGCTTCTTTAACGTCCGTAGCTTGACGCCTTAGCCACTTTTTCCGTGACTTCCCAATCCGAGAGTCATAAAGTTTGGCCCTTCTAACTCTCTTCTGATGCCACCCTGTTTGAATTTTTGCTCGGTCAAGGTCCATGATCCTTGACTCATTCCTGCGGCTTGGTGGCAACAGGATATATGGAGGAGACTTTGTATAGGTGGGTGGGGGCGGAAGTCTCCTCAGTAGATCCACATCATTAGCCTTGATTGCGAAATTGATTTCTTCCTTATCTGCAATTGGCTGACTATCCATTTGTGGTTTGATGATTACGACCATACTTTCCCTCACGAATGAGTCTTCAGTGTCACTTACCAGAAGTTCATCCCAACTCTTTTGGCTCCAACTATCCTTTGGGCAGACAAAATCACACCCGTCAAGTAGGGAGTCAAAGAAAGTTTGGTCTAAGTCTTCTGATGAAGCATGATTATCTATAGACGTTATTGGTTCCTCTGTGCTAGGTATTTCTTCGTCTAGAGATTCCTCCTCAGACTCTTGAACGTTGGAATCTTGGGGGTAGATAGTGGGCTCTATCTCCTCCAGAACAGGTTCCTCTGGAGGCGTGTCTTCAACACAATTAAGGAGATGGTCGTTTATTGCCATAGGCAAAACTTCCTCCTCCTTCTGTTCTTGAATAAGCATAGGTGGTTCTGAGTCAGGTCCCTCAGTTTGTTCCACCTTCTATACGACTATGCTGGTTGGGACTTGAATGGCAGGGATTCAGGTAACATCACCACAGTAGCCCTAGCGAGAGTTGTTATGCTCTCGCGTTTTTGTGATGGTGTAGAACTGGGTGAATCTTCTAGAACCGGAACCTGTTGGTTGATGGGTGATAAGTCCGTTTCGTTCTTATCATTTACATCATATTCTAAACGTTATTGCACGTAAATAGTATTTAATCATCTCATAAAATATGTTTTTAATCAATAAAACTCTCAGTTTTGCTCTAAGAGTCATAAAAAGGGATTCCACGTCAAATCATCATAAATTATCCATTTTATGTTCAAATACTTGAGAAAAAGGAAATTAATCATCAAAGGATCAAGATTCAGGCTTGAATGAGCTTCCGATAGGATAAAATCAACGTTCGGGCCGAAAAACATCGAAATTGGGCCAAGATCTTGCATCAGCCACGAAGCCCAAACAAACCAACTTGGACGCTTGGCCAAGTTGGACGCTTGGGAGTTGGACGCCTTGGCAGGATTGCAGACTAAGGAAGACACGTGGCAAAACCTGATTGGCCGGAGCAGCTCAAGCGTCCTGATTTGGACGCCTCAGCCTCTGTCCTATAAATATAGCGCGATTCTCCACATTCCAACCATCACCATCTCTCCCATTCTCGGGAATTGAGCTCTATATTTTAGTTCCAAGTTCTAGTTTATTAATATAGTAGTTTTAGAATAATTTTTGGAGGAATTCTACTCCCGATCTGTTCAAATCCGCTTTTACGGAAGTTGTAAGTATTCTTTATTTAATAAAATGCTGTTTTAATTTATGTTTGCTTAGTATAAGTGTGGGGTCCGGATCTCTAGGTCCGGACTAGTTTGGTTGTTTATTATGTTAAATTAATGTTGGAATGGTTAATCTATTGTTCTTGCCTTATTTAGTTAATTAATATCGGAAGATTTAATTAGCTATTTATTGAGAAAATATTGTATGCCAATTGACTATGATATTCAAGTGCAACGGATTAAGTACAAATCTAGAAATGGATGAGTAGTAATAGAAATATTATTATTCCAATTGTTAATTTAATATGATAAATAAGATCCAGATGATGTCCTGACCCTAGGTCCAGATCTACACTTATACTATGTAGACTTGATTTATTATTTTTACTCTGGCTTTTTTACAAGCGTTGCGAGAAGACTTTCATAAATCAATCCTAACCTTCGCCTAATTAGAGTAATTAAATTAATTCCCTTCATCCACTCCTCGAGAGATACGACACTCGGAGAGAAAACTAACCCTTTATTGGGAAGGTTTACTACCCGAAAAACTGCGACTGTCAAATGGCGCCGTTGCCAGGGAGTGGCACGTCATTAGTTTAATTTCATTTAATTAGCTTGGGTGAAGATTGGTTAGAACGATTTTCTCACTTCTTTTCACCAACCACCCATAATAATTAGCATGGATAACTCCAGTGGTTATTATGGATCGCCTTCTTTCTATCAATCACCCAACCGTCCTCCGTTTAAAACCCATCAACCTTATCACCCACATCACTACCCATATGATAATACTTACCAAGTCAACAATAGATCTGACTACTATCCCTACCATGAGGAACCACATATGATACCCCGTCTAGAA